AAGCCTGAGGCATAAGGACCCAACTCATGAGAGTCCTGGGTAAACTTAGCCCAGCACTGCTAGGAGGGTGGTGCCGCCTGGGACCTGGAACACAGGAAATATAAATGGGAAATTCTCAAGCTACTTCAGAAAACAGAGAGTTACAGGCTGTAATTCTGCAAAGGCTATATTCAGACTCTACATAGTGGATAGACAATTGTTGAAGAATAGCAAGTTTCCCCCGAACACCAGCTAATCTCCTGAGATTTTCCTCAACTTAATAGTATACCTGAAAAGGAATACAATTGCTATGGAACCTGGCAGTACTTGCCTCTTTTTCAGCATCTTTAAGTGTTGATTCTTTCTCCTTTACTCGCTGCATGAACCTGTGTTTCAACTGCTTTTCCTCCCTCTGGCATTGATCATAAAACTCTTGTCTCTTGGCTTCATATATCTCTTGAAAACTAAAAAGGAATGCTTATGACTCATGTTAAAATTCTCTTATAAATGAGCATGTTAACAATATATCTGCATTTCAGGTCCCATGAAATATCATCCTCTCATATGTAGTAACACAAAATGAACTTTCCATACACTGGGATGACAGGAGTGAGACATAATTGTTGACACAGTGTGCATGTGCTGGGCAGAGCAAGCCAGCGACCACAGCTGTCTGGAGTCAGAAGGACTGCAGGCTGGAGGCCACGCTGGGTACTTAGCAAGACCCTGTCTCAAAACAAAATTTACAAGAAGAGGTTGGGGATGCGGCTCAGCGGCAGGGGGTGCAAAACCGTCTCAGGGTGTACACAAAGAACAGCAGGGTGTTGAAACACATAGAACTGATTTCTTATTTCCATTATATCAAGTTCTTTACATCTCTTGACAAGAAAATTTAAGAAAACCTCTAAAATATGAGGCTATGTTGAAAATAGTTCAATTAAAGCAAGAAATCATTTAAAATATCATCTGCTGAAGATGGTTCAGTTTGGGTTCTCTTCAAGGAACCATGACTGACTCCAATGCAAAACGACTCAGGGACTCTGATAATCCAGCAGTGAGAGGGTCACTCCTCTCCAACACAGCTGAACACTGCCCACGGGCTCTTCACTCTGGACTGACAGGTCAGCACATTGCTGCCTTCAACTCTCTTCTCCCTCAATTCATCTCAATATCCTTTGCCAATTTTCATCAATATTGTCAAATCGCTGAATCTGTTTTACATAAATACAAACATTCAAATACAAATTCCAAGTGCAAAATAAAGGTTTTCCTTGAATACACACCTTAATATTGGCACATTGGATGTGTTTCAACATGCAAATGATCCCTTTCAGGAAGCTGCCCCTTCCTCTCCCCCTGCATCTCCCATTCTCACCTCAGGACAGCCCACGATGAGAGGAGCTCAGTACTGCTCATTCCTAATAACCATGCTCTGTATGTTCAGGGGTTTCCTAAGTCACGCGTCCAACTGCCATTGCTGGGTCTGTGCTCACCTAACCGGCTGGTTGTCAGGTCCCACGTCTGTGAAGCCCATTTTCTGCAGCTTGCGGCATCTGTAGCATTCATAGTGGTAGAAGTGGGTCTGCTCCTTCAGGTCCTCCATGTTGGTGCAGAGGAGCATGTCTCGGAGCTTCACGAAGTCACAGTGGTTCTCGTTTTCCACTAGCCAGGAGAACAACAAATCCACACCTCACCCACTCAATCCACACTCACTCATTGGCATTGGTAAAGCATTGTTAGATTAATTCATGCATGAAAACCACTGTAGCAACAGAGAAATGACTAATATTATTAACAGTTATAATTATTTGAACCATGGGCTGGGGAATGTGGCTCAAGCGGTAGCATGCTCGCCTGGCATGCGTGTGGCCCGGGTTCGATCCTCAACATCACATACAAAGATGTTGTGTCCGCCGAAAACTAAAAAATAAATATTAAAAAAAATAAAATAATTATTTGAACCATGTAACTGTTTAAATTAAATGACTAATTTGGGCATGGTGGATAGAAAGATCAACGAATTTGCTTTAAATTTTGCTGAGAGCCATTGCCAAGTAGGAATGACGCATGGCATGACCCAGGTCATTTGCAGTGACATTGCATGTAAGGTGACCTTGCTCAAGGACCAGGGCGGATCCGGGTTTAGGGCAGATCAGGGTTTAGGGCACTCCTTGGGTTTAGGGTGGTTCCAGGTTTAAGGTGTATCCTGCTGGGAATAGGGCCTATCCTGCTGCCTCCAGGCACCCGCTCCTTGAGTTCCCCGTTGAGTTCTCGCGGGATTGGGATTCAGAGCCCTGTGGAGAGTGTGGATTTCCCCAGAACGTGTGGGTAGAGTGCCGGTGACAGTTTCGGAATAAAGAATTGCTGTTTGAATCTACAAGGCTGTGAGTGGCTCGTGATTTTGTGTCCAGCCAGAAAGCAGCAAAATTTATTATAAGAATAAATAGGGGCTGGGATTGTAGCTCATGGGTACAGCACTTGCCTACCACATGTGAGGCACTGGGTTCAATCCTCAGCAACACATAAAAATAAATAAATAAATAAAGGTATTGTGTCCATCTACAACTAAAAAAATAAATAGGAGATAGTAAAATAACAAGTGATATTGGTATATTATACAGTTTTTCATTAACTATGGTATTATTATTCTACAAACTACCCTCAATGTTTTTCACAGCTAATTGTCCAGTAATAAAATTCACTAATGTATGTAGTTTTTAAGATGAATTCTTTAATTTAAAAAAAAAACCCTTAAAATTGTACAGGGGGGCTGGGGATGTGGCTCAAGCAGTAGCGCGCTCGTTGTACAGGCTTTTGGTATTAAACTCCATTTATACAACACATTTATAAGACTGCATGAATCAATGTCCAAAATCAATGAATAACTTCAAATGACTCCTTTATAGTTTTTTTTTTAAGAAGAAACTTTTTTTTTTAGAGAGAGAGAGAGAGAGAATTTTTTAAATATTTATTTCTTTTTTAGTTCTCAGCAGACACAACATCTTTGTTTGTATGTGGTGCTGAGGATCGAACCCGGGCCGCACGCATGCCAGGCGAGTGCACTACCGCTTGAGCCACATCCCCAGCCCCCTTTATAGTTTTTTTAACTAATACATAAAACTATAAAAGTTGTACATATTAATGGCATGCCATGTACTAGCCAGCACATGTACACATTATGTGATGATGTTTAAAGCAGGTTGAACATATTTATATCCTCAAATATTTATCATTGCTTGAAATAAAAACTTTAAAAATAGTTTCTTCTAGAACTTGAACTGTGTAGTACACTGAAGATGTCTGAAAGCACCACATTTTGCAACTTCACACATCAGTTTCTTGACACCAAAGGACAGTCAGTGCCCACTGATAAGCTTCCCCACCCCCCACTGCACCTAGCTGCTATGGATCAGCAATCTGAATTCCACATGAGTGAGGTCATGTGGCAACTTTCCTGCACCAGACCTTTGTTCTTGGCCTGAAGATCTCCACATCCATCCATGCTGTTGCAAGAGGCCAGATTCCTCTTGTGTGGCCAAACTGTTCCATTGTATATCTGTTACATTCTCTCTATCCATTCATCTATTCGTGGGCAATTAGACGATTTCCATTTCTAGGCTATCATCACCAGTGGGACAACAGGCAGAGAGTGCAGGTGCCTCTACCAGATGCTGATTCTCTTCTATTGAGTGTATATCCAGCAATGGAATTGCTGGGTCCTCTGGTCATAGTAGTGTTAATTTTTTCAAGAAAGCTCCATACTGCTTTATGCAATGGCTTGCAATATCACCTTGTGATTCTGAATTGCATTTACCTGATAGAGATACTAGCATTTTTAATTAACCTACTGGTCATCTGTATGTCTTCTTTATAGAATATCTGTTCAGATCTATTGCCCATTTTTACTCAGGGTGCTTACTTTTCTGCCAGTGAGTTTTGTAGAGCCATAAATATTGTGACTATCATCCCCTTGTCTGATGTGAATACATTGTGGACACTTTCTCCTACTCAGCTTGTCTGTGAACTCTGATGGACGACTTCTTTCTCTGTGAAGATTTTAATTTTCTGCTTGTGTTTTCTATGCTTTTACCCAGGACATTGCCCATTCCAATATCCTGAAGCATTTTTACTAATTTTCATCTAACAGTTTCACATTTTCAGGGCTTAATCCATTTTTAGTTGATCTTTGTAACTGTTGAGAGATAGTGGTCCAACTTCATTCTTCTGCATATGGATATTCAACTTTCCCAGCACTATCTAGTGAAGACTGTCCTTTCTCCAACAGACAAAAATCAGCTGGAGGCAGACACACAGATTTAGCTCCAGACTCTCCATTCTGCCTCTGTGGCCATGTGTCTGTTTTCATGCCAGCAATGTGCTGCTTTGATTGCTACAGCCATGTGGGGCATCTTGAAGTCACATAGCATAACACCTCATGCTTTGTTCTTTTGTTCAAGATTGCTTTGGCTATTGGGGCTTTTTCTTTTTGTGGTTTCATATAAGTTTTAGAGGGTTTTTTTCCTAGTTTCATGAAGAAGGCCATTAGTATTTTGATAGGGATTGAATTAAATCTGCAAATCACTTTGGGTATTGCATACATTTCAATAGCACTGATTCTTCCAATCCATGAACATGGTATATCTTTCCACTTTCTGTGGCTTCTTTGATTTATTTTATTAACCTTTTATAATTTTTGCTGTAAACACCATTCACTTCTTTGGTTAAATTTATTCCTAGGTATTTTTATCTGTTTTAAATGGGATTGCTTCCTTGATTTATTTTTCAGACAATTCACTCTCTTTTAAATGTTTTTAATATATATTTTTAGTTGTAGGTGCACACAATACCTTTATTTTGTTTTTATGTGGTGCTGAGTATCAAGCCCAGTGCCTCATGCATGCTAGGTGAGCATTCCACCCCTTAAGCCACAACCCCAGCCCAATTCACTCTTGATGTACAGCAATGATACTGGTTTTTATATTGATTCTGTATCCTGAAACTGTGCTAAATTTACTTATTTTCTGTTTTGATGGAGTTTTTTAGCTTTTCTATACATAGGAAAACGTCCTCTGCAAACAGCAACAACTAACTTCTTTTCCAATTTTCATGCCCTCTCTTTCTTTCTCTAGAATAAGTGCTCTGCCTGGGATTTCTACCATTGTGTTGAATAAAAGTGATGAAAGGGACATTTGTGTCTTGTTCCAGATATTATGAAGAAAGCCTTCTACTTCCTTCCATTCAATAAGTGTTAGCTGTTGACTTATAAATGCCTCTATTATGCTGAGGTGTGTTTCTTGTATGGCTACTTGGCTCAGTGTTTTTACCATTAGGAAGTGTTGGATTTTATCCACAGGCTTTTCTGCACCTATTGACATAATCCTGTAGGTCTTGTCCTCCATCCTGTTGCCATGGTGTATCATGTTTAGTGATTTGTATGCATAGAAATATCCTTGCATCCCTAGCATGAATCCAAGCTAATAATATTTTTAATGTGCTATTGGATTTTATTTGCTAGTATTTTGTTGAGGATTTTTACATATATGTTCGTCAAAGATATTGACTGCTAGGATTCTTTGTTTAAGGGCAATGTTCTCTTTAAAATGCTTTATAAATTAAGTGGTAGTTTAGGTAACATATTTAAATAGTAGTACTTTGGCTTCTGAATGATTCCCAGCATTCTGAATGGTGTGATTTATGCAGAGCAAGGGAAAGCTAATATGTGTGGGGTAAACATTAGGGTAAACAAGGAGATGGTGCCCATTTTCTATAGTTTGGCCTAAAGCACAACCTTGCAAATTTCTATAAGAATGGATCATAATCACAGTAAGAATTGGCTTAAATGAAGGAGAACCTGTTTTTCTCACTAGTAAGCATTCATTACAGCCAGCAAGAGTTGCCAAGGCTAGTTCAAGTACAAGCAGTTGAGATCACGTTGCACACAGGGTATGTGACCTCACTCCAGATCTCCCTTCCTTCATGGCACTTACCTTGCAAAACTCCCCAGGGGTAATGACGGCCTCTCACCATCCTTTTTCCAACTTTCACCTCATCTATACTCCCAACCACAGCAAATGGGAGCACTCCCTAGAAAAGAAGAATGATACAAATTGAATTCTCTCTTAACAGCACTGCTTACTATTTTGTTCTTTTTGTTATGGGAATAGCAAAGATGAAAATATCACAAGAAATCAATCAAACAAGGGATATACCTTGCATTCTATTTTAACACTTAGCAGAAAATATTTGCTAATTGATTTCTGAAAGACTTAATTTCAGGATGTTCAAATAATTGAAAATCATCTTTTGTTACCTAAAGCAAGACAACCTGCTATGAGCAACACAACACTATATACAACTCAGCGAATTCTAAACATGATTTGGAGCACAAAGGGCTACTCGAGATCATGAGAATCAGAGGGGGCCTGAAAAATAAAGTGCAATTCATGGAATATCTGAGAGGATGATAAGCAGAGTAAGAAGGACAAATACAGGCAAAATGATTCTGGACAGTACGCAAGATAGACTTGTGGTCATTTAGATGTTATATAGACAGATTTGTCTACATAAGAATTTTTATTTGGGGCTGGGGTTGTGGCACAGCAGTAGAGCGCTCACCTAGCATGTGTGAGGCCCTGGGTTCGATCCTCAGCACCACACAAAAATAAATAAATAAAATAAAGGTATAAAATTTTTTTTAAAAAGAATTTTGATATAAGGGAAATTTCTATGCTTAAAATTATTAAACATTGTGTTAAAGATGTAATACTTAGCATTAGTCTTTTAATTGGTCATGATAAAAATCATTTCCTATAATTGAGTTCTCAGAGGTATATATAACACAGGAGAGATTGAAATTTTCAAGATAAGTCATAAAGAAAAATTAACATAAGGGAAAATTTTTACATTATTCAGCTGTTCAATCAAGAAATATGTTTACCTTAAGTATTTTAAAATTAATAGCGTATGAAACATATGAAAAAAAATGGAAGAAAAATAACTAACATCTATCAGTCGTCACCTCATAGTCTAGACCCTGTCAGCAAGGTTCTTCACAATGATTCTGACTCGGTAAAGGACAAGTTAATAGTCTCTGGAAAGACAGACGAATTGTGTAGAAAAGCTAAGACTGTCTCCAAAGTTTACCTTTCAAATATTAAATAATATTTTAGATATTTACTCACATTAATAAATTGACACAAAGAATTAAATCTTCTACAGTATTGTCCTGATATTAGGGACAATTCGGCATTCTCTCTCAGACCTGCTGCATTCCCAGTCCTCTCCTGAGGCAAAGTCCCTGGCATTTGAAGAGAGGACGCTCCTTAGAACTGCTCAATCCCCATTCAAGGAATAGGTGGTATTCTCTGTATGCAGCAAACAGAAAAGCCTGGGGCTGACCACCCTGGCCCAGCTCAGGGGCAGTGGCTTATTGCCTGGTGAGGCAGAACAAAGGCACTCTGACTGCTGTCCCTTCCCTCTGAGCTCCTGGTTAACACAGTGTGGCAACACTTGATAAAAGCCTAATATCCACACCCAAAACTCCAGAGCCTGCCTCAGCTGCATTGCCAGAGTGGAGAATCAGGCCATAAAGCAGACAGCATCTAACATTTTCCCAAAAACTGACTTCATTTGCAGGAGGAGGTATAGAAAAAGAATCCAAAGACACTCTTAAGAACAGATAAGAGTGGCTGGGGTTGTGGCTCAGAGGGAGACCACTCGCCTAGTGTGAGTGAGGGACTGGGTTCAGTCCTCAGCGCCACATAAAAATAAGACAAAGATATTGTGTCCACCTATAACTAAAAAATAAATATTAAAAAAAAATAACAGAGAAGATAAACTTTAATTTTCTCTTCCAGAATCTCAAATACATGAAAGTAATTAGACCTATCCACACACCCAGGAAAGAGCTGAACAGACTAGAATCAACCAGAAGTCAGTAACAGGAAGAAAGTGGAAAATACACAAATATGTGGTAATTGAACATGCTCATGAACAATTAATAGGTCAAAGAAGAAATCTCAAAAGAAACTATAAAGCAACTTGAGACAAGTGGACATTTAAAAACAGCACACCAACACTTATGGGATAAAGCAACAGCAGTGCTAAGTGGTAAGGTTGTGGGCGGTGAGACCATTGGTGAAAGTAAGTGTGTGTCCCAGCTGCTCCATGACCTGAGATTCAACAGCAGGAGCCCTGCTTCTCAGCAAGATGGTAATGGAGGGCATCAGCTAGAGTTCAGCAATGGAAGAAGAATCATGGAGACAGAGAAGCTCTGGAGCTCTGAATGGTTCACTGCAGAGGGGAAGGAGAGGGACACAGAGAGGGGAAAGCACTCTACCTACATTTGGCACAGGAGAACCTGTGGCCAAGAGGCAGTCTATCCTCACCCTGCAGAGGCTGCCATCAGCTATGATTAAAGTGCCTGTCTCATGGCCACAGGGGAGAAGCTGAGATGGGGGGGGGCATTCTGAAGTGGTGAGCTGCAGCCCCCTGAGCTAGATCCTGGGCATCCACAAAAAGCATTGAAGAGTCCCAGTGAGCACCTGCCATGGGGTCTAGAATGTGCCCAACCAAGCCCTATTCAAACAGGCACAGCAAGCCCAGAACCCAAGGCAGCCCAAGCCGGGTTTCCCTTGAGGGCAGAGCCTTTCTTTCCCTGTGTTTGTGGCATTGCATGCCAACAGCTTGAGCAAGGCCAGAAACTCCAGGTCTGCTCCTGGAAAATCCAAGCCCAATGTTGTGGAACATAGGAGATGGCAGAGTTAACTCCCCCATTCCGTGAGTGGAATGTTCTGGAGGTCACTGAGACCCAGACATCCAGACCAGCGTCTGCCCTGCAGCAGGGATGGGGATCTGATCTCTGGATTTGACACCATCTGGCGAAGTTCCCAGGATGCTTAGAGCCCACATCAGCCACTGCCCGCTCCTGGTTAGTGCTCCACACCAGCGTTGCCCTGGGGGCATTGACTGGTGTGTCCAGACCGGGCTCCAGCTGTGGTGCTCCCATTTGTCCTGTCCTATTCTGGGGATAAGGGAAGCCAAGAGCTGCTGCCTTTAGCTTCCATTCCAGTTCACTCTGCTGGCATCTTGGTGACCAACACAAACATTAGTTTTGAGGAGCCCAGCCCTTGTTCTGTTCAAAGGTATCCAGCCAAGGAGAAATGGAAAGAGGGGCAATGTGTGGGCAGTGAACCTCCCCATGTCACGGGTTCTGATCATGTCCGTGGAAACAGTCTTTCCTTTTCCTCAAGACTCTCCCTTTTTTCTCTTTCCATTTTCTGTGTGTGTGTGTGTGTGTGTGTGTGTGTGTGTGTGTTCTCACAGAGCTGACTGCTTTGAGGATGTCTGTATGTGTGTGTGTGTGTTCTCACAGAACTGATTTCTTTGAGGGTGTGTGTGTGTGTGTGTGTGTATGTGTTCTCACAGAGCTGATTGCTTTGAGGATGTGTGTGTGTGTATGTGTATGTGTTCTCACAGAGCTGATTGCTTTGAGGATGTGT